TATATATATATATTATGTGTAGAGGTCAACGACCCCGAAACCACTCGAACTTGTACATATTATACGCTTTTACTGTGTGACTTGTCGAGTATAAGTAAAGTCGAGGAAACTTGCAAATGCACTCGATCATGTATACGCAGAGAGCAACTGTACCTACGTTACATACATTTAAAATTTTTTTGGAATACAATTTTTGCTAAAAATTTCAAGGTGATTCTTTGTACTCATAAAATGTTTTTGTCAACTACCTACACTTACAGCAAAAACGATGCGTAATAATTTGAAAGAAAAAAATATAAATTTTAATATCTAAAATGAATTGCGCACTTTGATATGTCAGGGGAAAAAACGCGTTTCACAATGTTGTAGTGTGAAAAGTGATGAATAAAAATAAAATCACTTTACTTAGTATGAAGGGGAAAAAATGTTTTTTTTTTTTTTTGTTTTTTTTTCTCTTTCAAAGTGACGTTTAAAAATCCATAAAAAAAAAAAAAAAAAAATATTAATTGTGACCACCAAGTCTGCCTATGCATACTGTACGTATATATAATAATGTATAGCCTGCAGTCGTCGACCTACACTCGCTAATGCACGCGGCGGCGCGTTGCTCCTTGACCGCCTCCACCAGTCCACCGTCTCTCTCTCTCTCGCAAACATAAACTGGCTTCCACGAACTCGCTACGAAAGCCCGAGTGTATACACGTATATATAATATACACGCGCCGCGAGCGCTGCCGATGCCCGTACGTTTACGATTATTACTTATTATACGACCGATGAAAGCTTCCAACGTCGGGCTTGTACGTAAGTATATTGGAAGGAAAAAAAAGCAAAAAAAAAAGGAATAGCCATTATTGTTGTTGTTGTTGTTGCTGCCAAAGTTTATCGATCCGCCGATTATTAGGCATCATCATCATTATTATTATTATCTATCAAGTGCATTCAAGGAAATGACACGTATTATACCCGTGGAGTAGATTTTTTTTTTTCCCCTTTCTTTTTCTCCAGCGAACGGGCAAACAAGCCGCTAATAACGAATTTATGCGAAAACGCCGCTCAAACGAATAATCCCCGAGGATAAGTGTACATAAAAGGGGGATGGGAGGAGGGAGTTGAGAAAAGCTGTTATTTCAAGCGAAAGCCGCGTTATAGCCGAGTATGTATACGCGAAAGATTATCTCGGAGATTATCAGCTCTCGACCGTACATATACACTTGTGCTTCGGAGCTTTTAAATGCGCGCCGATTGTTCTTCCTCCTCCTGGGCTGGGTACATATCCTCCGAGGCTTTAATTATACACGCAAATTCCGCGCAGCAGTTCAACAACCCGAGGGACACCGACGGCTCCTTCCTGTCCACGTGCGTGTGCGCCGATGTTGACGCCTCGTGATCCCGAGCGCAACACCAACAGATGCATTAAATACACCTCGGAAGAAAAGGGGGTATGCACGCACGAGACGAAATTCTACTCGTGGAAGTATGAAAAAAAAAAAAAAAAAAAAGCACCGCCCCCATGCTGACTTATGAATAGTTACGGGGGGGGGGACAGCTGAATATTCATACGTGGAAGCCTGACAATGCGGGTTTATTATTTTTGCTCGAGCCTCGGAAAATCGATATCCGGCCGCTCGGGTCGACGCTCCGACCCAACACCACCCACTGACCCACGAAATATGACCAAACAAAGAGAGATGAAAACAACAACGGGGGACTCACCTTCGTCGTCGATGCCAAAGAGCCCGACGCCGTCGCCCGCGCGGATGCTGTACTCCACCCTGGAGTCCGGGCCCGGGGGGTCCGCGTCCCTCGCCCGGACCTGCGTCACGAAAGTACCGGGCGGCCGGTTCTCCGGGACGCTGGCCGACACCACGAAATCCTCGAACTGCGGCGCGTGCAGGTTCTCGTTGACGTCCACCACTTCCACGATGAGCACCGCCTCGGAGCTCAAAGCACGCGGCTCGCCCCTGTCACTAGCCACCAGCGTCAGCGTGTGCACCTTGGGAAAAGCATAAAAAATACACATAAATATATACACCTAGGTACTTATTTCCAAGCTGAACTGTGTATAAATATATAGAGTCCACGTTTACCTGGCGCTCCTCAAAGTCCAGCGGTCGGGCCGTGCGCACGGTCCCGCTCAGCCCGTCGAGGCTGAAGAAGCCCTCGGCCTCCTCGGCGAAGCGGTACTCGACCTCCCCGGCCGGGCCCTCGTCCGGGTCCAGCGCCTCCACGAACGCCACGACGCTCCACAGCGGCACGTCCTCCCGCACCCTCACCGTGTAACTCGGCAGGGCGAAGCTCGGCGCGTTGTCGTTCACGTCGTCCACCCCCACCCGCACCAGGGCCTCGGCGTGCAACCGCGCCTCCTCCCCCGACGCCCCGGCCCTGTCGCTCGCCCGCACGCGCAGCTCGTAACTGGCCCGGCGCTCTCTGTCCAGGGGCCCGGCCGTCCGCACCTCCCCCGTCTCCGCGTCCACCGTAAAATCGGCCGCGTCGGACAGCAGAGCGTAAGAGATGCGCGCGTTCAGGCCAAGATCGGCATCGGTGGCACTGGCCCGGAACACCAGACTCCCCGGGGCCGCGTCCTCGGACAGACGGACGCTCGCCAGGGGCCGGTCGAAGCGCGGGGCGTTGTCGTTGACGTCGAGCACGGTGACGGCGAGCATGCGGGACGCGGATTTTTGGGGCCTGCCCAGGTCGTAGACGCTCACGTTGAGGTAGTACTCGGCCTCGCGCTCCCGGTCGAGCCGGCCGATGAGCCGTAGCTCGCCCGTGTCGGGCTCGAGGCCAAAGGCCGAGTCGCCGTCGCCCGCCGAGATCCCGTAGACGAGTTTCCCGTTGTAGCCGAGGTCGCGGTCGCGGGCCTGGAGCCGGGCGAGCAGCTGGCCCACGGGGGCAGACTCGTTGACGCGGATCTCCCCGGGGAAGTCGAGGAACTCGGGGGCGTGGAGGTTGTCGCCGTACCGGCTGGGCAGGGCCTCGTCCTCTTGCTCGGGGGCGTTGTTGCGCTCGGCGGCGGCGATGGCCTCGGTGAGGCGGCGGGCGACCCCGGTCTCGCGGCAGTCGAACCGGGGTGCCGGTGGGGTGGTCTCCTTGGGGGCGTCGGCGGGCTCGTTGTCGTCGAGTTTGATGCGGAGGCGGTTGACGTCGGCAAAGTGGGTGCCGTCGGTGGCGGTGACGCCGAGCTCGCGCTCGCGGGCCCCGAGGTCGGCGAGGCTGCAGGCGAGGGAGAGGACGCCGGTGGCGGGGTCGAGGGCGAAGCAGGCGTCGGCGTTGCCGGAGACGAGTCGGTAGCTGATGGCGCTGCCGGGGTCGAGGTCGAGGGCGGAGAGGGCGAGGAGCTCGGCGCCGACGGGGAGCCGGCGGGAGACGCGGCCGGTGCAGTCGACGCGCTCGAATTGGGGCCTGTTGTCGTTGACGTTGCGGAGGTGGACGCGGAGGCGGGCTTCGCTCTGGCGGCGGTAGGGCAGTCCCCAGTCGCTGGCTCGCACGCGGAGGAGGTACTCGCGTCGGCCGGCTTCGTAGTCGAGTAGCTGGCGGGTGCGGACTAGGCCGGAGAAGGGCTCGATGTCGAAGGGGACGCGGGCGAGGTTGTCGATGCTGTAGCTGACGTAGGCGTTCTCGCCCGAGTCGCGGTCGCGGGCCTGGAGTCGGGCCACCGAGGCGCCGGCGGGCTCGTTCTCGTCCAGCCACACCTCGAGCTCCGAGTGCTCGAATTCTGGATCGTTGTCGTTGGCGTCGAGCACGTGGACCTGTTTGTGCAAGGGAAAGCAAAGCAACGTTGAAACGAATTTCATACTTTTCGACCTGTTTTAGTATGTTTCGTATTGGTGGTTTTCAAATTAAAATTCATCTCGAGAGCTCACGATCGATTTTCAAGCGAATAATACAACTTCGTACTCAGAGTCACAACGCCCAGGTAAGAAACAAAAAGTGTACCACTTTCCAGGGCGATTACGTGCTTTTCAACAATCCATCAATTAAATTTTAAACAAATTTTTTGAGATAATTTTCAAATATGTTAAATATCCGTTTAATCCAAATTATTTTAATTGCAAAAAATATTCATACTTTAAAAACCAATAATATGATTTCGTACCCTCGAAATACCGAGTTATATTCAACTATCAATATGATTATTATCACGTATCAAAGCCGTTCAAAATGCAGAGGATCTCTCGAGTTGTTAACTATTTTCATGCACTGTACCGATCTATATTAGCGCGTAATATATTAACCAGAGCAAAAAGTGAGAAAGTTTTGCCATACAGGTACTACCAAAAGGTATGGGAAGCTGAAATATCGAACCTGTAGTTCAAAAGTTGAAGGGTGGTCCGAGTACTTTGAACTATGCACCCGATCGACTATGCACCGACGTGTCAACTCGAGTAATTATTTGACAACCTCCCGCGTACCACCTTGTATATACATACTTTTTGCTCCGTGACGTTGATTCACATGCACATACTTACACTATACACAAAACAACAAAGGACGTGCCCCGAGCAACCTACCTTGACCTTGGCGGAGCTCTGCTTGCGGCTCCCGGCGTTACCCTGATCCACAGCCGAGACGGCCAGGGTGTAGAAGGCCTTGCTCTCGGCGTCGAGGGAGCGCGCGCTGTACAGCATGCCCGAGTCCGCGTTCAGGTAAAACTCGGAGCCGTCGTTGCCCGCGGCGATCTCGAGGAACACCAGCCCGTTGCGACCGTTGTCCGCATCGGTGACCCGCAACCTCACCAGGGGACTGTGCGGCGGGGCGGTTTCGGGCACCCTCACCTCGTAAAGCTCCCGGCCAAAGACCGGCGCGTTGTCGTTCAGATCGGCCAGGCGCACCTGGAGCGATCGGTAGCTGAACCGCGGGGGCGTGCCCCGGTCGAGGGCGCGCAAGGTCAAATTGTAGCCCTGAGGCGCGGCCTCGCGGTCGAGCAGCTTCAGCACTTGAACGCTGAACTCGGTGCCCTCGGAGTTGGTGCTGTTGCCCCGGGGCGAGCGGCGCACCCGAAAGTGGCCGTCGGGATCGCCCGAGACGATCTCGAGGCTGGCGATTTGGCCGTGGGGGCCGGCGTCCCGGTCGCGGACGCGCACCAGGGCGTAGGTCTCGGCGCCGCTCGACTCCTCCAGGATCTCGGGCAGCTGGCGCACCGAGATCTCGGGCGCGTGGAGGTTCACCTGGCGGACGTGGATGGTGACGCGGGCGCTGCTCGCCGGGCGCGATAGCTGGCCCTTACGCTCGCCTCCTCGGTCCCGAGCCAGCACGGTCAGCTCGTACATCGGCCGCTCCACGTACCTGCAACCAACGGACCTTCAAGGGTTTTTTTTTTTCCTTTTTTTTCTCCCCTTTAATAACCCTAGTAACCCCCTTTTTGTAACACTTGTAGAGAATAATAAAAATTATCGAGAAATTTCAGCAAAATTTACCAATCTGCATCGCGAATCGGATGCATATATTAAAACCGATCCTTTTAAAGTTTACTGTTCCAGCAACTTTTCTTTTTTTTCGCCAACTTGCATTCGATTTGCAGTTCATAATGTCACTTATTGCTGGAACTTCTTGATAATTTTCAATACATCTCACAATAAATAAAAAAAAAAAAAATCTTATGAGCGTAAATGTAAGACGCGAGCGTACCTGAGCGGCCTCGTGAGACTGACGACGCCGCTGACCGGGTGCACGGCAAACTGCTCGGTCCTCTCGGCGAAGCTGTAGTATATCTCGCCGTTCCTCCCGAGGTCCGCGTCCTCGGCCGCGACCTTGAGTACACTCCTGTGCGTGGGCGTGTCCTCGGGCACGCTGGCCTCGTACTCGGTCGGGTAGAACAAGGGACTGAGATCGTTGGTGTCGAGCACGCTCACCACCACGCTGGCCTGGGCTTCGAGGAGGGTGGCCTTTGCGCCAGTCGTGCCCCGCCTCCGGGCGCTCGCCCTCACCTCGAGCACGTACCGGTCCTTCCGCTCCCGGTTGAGCACGTCGACGTTCCCCGTCCGCGTGCGCAGCAGCAGGAAACAAAAGTCCCCCACCACGCGCTCCTCCGCCTTGAAGAACTTGTCCTTGTCCCCCGACACTATCCTAAACCTGATCTCCTCGAGGCTACGCAGCCCCGCCCTGCCCAACTCCATGCCCATCTTCTCCTCGGGCACCGCGTACGTCTTGCCCATCGAGTTCTCGGGGATGCTCACGTTGTACACCCCCGCGGTGAACCGGAACTCGAGCTCTTTGTGCCCACGAGCCTCATCATCGTCGTCGTCATCCTCTGTCCATTGTGGGCTCGCTGGCACCGTTGACGTGCCGATCGTACTGGTGGTGGTCTCGGGGTCACGGCTCGGCAGGGCGAGGTTGTTCCGTGGATCGGCGGATGACTCGTCGTCGAGCCAGTCGGGCAGGTCGGAGGCACGGCAGGTGCCGAGCAGCAGCCAGAGCAGGAGCCAGCCGCCGAGTAGCCACGGCTGCTGGCCCCGCTGCTGCTTTAGCCGGCTCATGGTTGGACGCTAGCTCATTTTCGCCCTTTGACACCCCGCCTTGTATACTCAACGCCTCCTCTACTCACAATTGCGCCCTTGGTCCTCTTGGTCCGACGGGCGCCCCACCCGGATGCATCTGCAACACCACAAAGGAAACATGATTTTACTTTTTTTATTTTTTTTTTCATCAAGACGTGGGGTATTGTTGTGTTAGATTTGATGTGTATATGTAGGCGGTAAAGCAAGAGTATCGAAATCGGAGCTGAAAATCGGTGGGAATGACGTGTATAATATATATCGTGTGGGTGGTATGGAGGCGCTCGGCGAGGCATCGAAAAACGATACGTGCAGCGGTTCTATACGTATAGCCGGCGCCGAAGGCGACACGCGAGCGAGAGATTAGAGGCCCCGGTGGTGGCTGAGATAGCGCAACCGTGAGAGAGTATATGTAATGTTATCGGATGCCCTCTCTCTCTCTCGTGTATGCTGTATCGACGTGTATATAACATCAATAGGGCGGCCCGCGGATGGTTTCCAAGTCACGCTGGTTCCTTTGCCTTATGTCATAGGTACATCGCGGTCGATGCAACACCGGCCGAATCCGATCTCCAGATGCCGTTCACGCCTCGCGACTACAAAGTACCGGCAGCAGACGCTCATATGTACATATAGAAGGTGTATCTCTTACTGCCCATGGTCTCTTGAGATATACCTATATCTATACATACGCACGTATCATACCCAGCTGTGTTAGCTACCGTGTACCAGAGTTCATCGTTGCACACACGTCGGGGTACTAATTTGTTTCAGACCGAGTGTATATTATGTACGTAATTTTATTCGTTCGTTCATTGGAAATGAAAAAAAAAAAAAAAAAGAATTGGATGTAGTGCAAAGAGGAGAGAGAGAAATAAAAGGGAGAGCATTTAATAATATATGCATCGGAAGAAAAAAGTGCCATCCATAACCGTGGAGGGACGGGCTTCTTCGTCCAATTGGTTTTTGCCACCGTTACGACGATGATGCCAACCACTGCACATTTTTCATTTATACATCGAATACAAGAGACAAACGGACAGACGAGGGCAATGAGGCGGCTAACGGGTATTAAAATCCTTTTTTTTTTTTTTTTTTTTTCTTTTACGTCAACTTCCTCAATAAAGCGCAACGAGAGAAGAGAGAGACGTTGACTCGCCAAGTAAAATATATATTATACATCAAAAAGCAATTTAAAGGTTCCGAGCGGTTACCCAACGGGATCATTAGCGCCGTTTAATGAGATGGATCGACAAGTATCGCCCGAGGAAGAGGAAAAAATGTACAGGTCAGATGAACCGGCGCCAAATCTACAGGCAAACCCTCGCGACGCGATTGCTATATTATATACGTTATACGAGCTGGAAGCACAGATCTTTATTTCGGTTTATTGCTCCGGTTCTTTGAGCGGACCAGTTTTGTACTCCCCTTTTATTTTTCTTCCACACGCACCATGTATGTCCCGCTCTTTTGGCTTTGCACGGAGCGTCGTCGTCGTTGGTTCGAGCGGTGGGGGGACACAAAAAAAATCACATCAAAAAGTACCTTTCGCATTTCCCGATTCCACCTGGTCGCGGGGATTAATTCCTCCTTTGACCCTTTGTCGCGGAAGTGCGGAGGTACGTAAAAAAACGGCTATAATTAAACCGAGCCACTCGCAACAGATGCTGGACCATGCGAATTCCTCCATATTATGTCGAGCAGTGTATAGGGTACTTTTACTACTTTTGAAAGACTTTGTGAGACTTTAAGGTCATCAAAAATCTTGGATGACTTTTAACATGACTTGAAAATCTTTTTTCGAGACTTTTGTCGATGAAGCGGCTCCTCGGTGGTGGTGGTCAAAGAAATCTGAGCCCCGTGCCTTTCCCACGCCTTGAAGACTCGCACTTGACAAATCAACGACTGCAGCAGTAATCGTCGAATCTTTTTTTATCAAAGGATTATATATAATAATGCTGGCGTGGAGCAGCTAGCTCACCTCGAGCGGCCAATTTCAGTACGAAATTCCTTTACCCGCTCGTTGCTGTACCAACAGACTACTCCCATACGAGTCGCATCAGATTTGCGCGACCAGCATCGGATTAATGAGAAACTTGGTAATTTGCTGCGGCCACCGGTGCTGCAGCCGTAAATCGACTAGCGGTGTCCGAGACGACGACGACTGCTAAGCCCAGAGACTGCCTTTACCTTTCCCGCGTCGCATTCCTCATTTTAAACTCGAAAACTCGTCACCATCTACTCCTCTCTCTCCCCCTGCCAGAGACTAAGTAGTGACGCTCTAAGCGTCAGAGTTCTCTTGCCGCTCGTCAGCAGCTACTCCCTCAACTACTACCCCCCCTCCCCCCCGCACGTCACGACCCATTCCGCGCGTCGCGCAATGAATAAACATACCCACCCAACAAACTTCGTCTCCTCTTTGCTTCCACTACCTATACTCCGTGTCTCTTTCTCTCTTTTTTTTTCTTTTACTGTATGTATGCATGTGTATACCTCGGGGGGAGGGCCCCACTTACGCGCTGCATGCATACATCTACATTTCCGATTGGCCGACTCCTCAAGGGATCCTCGTTATTAATTCAATTGAGAGAATTTGCTTTCATTTTCATTCCAATGGCTTCTTCTTCTTCTTCTTCTCCGAATCCCGTGAAATTCGCTCTATCGGCGCGATAGCCATAGTGCCGGCACTGAATATGCATGCAAATTTCATTTAGTCCATGGGTAATACTATCTTTCCTTTTTACTATTTCAAAAACTTCAATTTGTTCCTTCGGACCCTTCGCCTCTCGAATACCTACTCTTATTTGTACAGCGACACTATACATCTCATTGTGCGCCGAGCTTTTTGGTCCGAATCAAAATATCAAGCTCAAATATACGCGGGGGAGGAGATATAATACCTTTTGGGTTATTGGATGAAAAAAAAGAAAAAAAAGGAGTCGGTAAATATTAAATAACCCACTCGAGGAATTGGGAAACGCGAAAAAGTATAATGAAATACAAAGAGATTTCCGCAAGGGCCACCGTCATATTCAAGACGGATTGCCTTTAATAATAACCTTTCCCAATCGGGGGTGAAATCGAGGTAAAGTAAGCAGAAGAATAATAAGCGAAGAGCAAAGCTCTCGGGGGCCCAAGTTTGCGTGTCTTTTCTCATGGAGTCACAGCTCGTTTAATCGACATTCGAGTTTGTACCATGGGAGTCGCAGAAAAGGGAGGAGGAGGACTGCAAAGCCCGGATGAAACTGCACGTTGGAAAATTATTCACATTCATTTGCCACGTTTTTCAATCTTTGCGTGATTAATTGCCAACTGGTTGCTGGAGTGGGAATATAATATATATTCGACGCTCGTGTGCGCGCGGACAGAGGACGGTAATTGACAATAATCTGGCGCTCAATTGATATATACAGTATTTCGTCATCGGGGCATATTCAACGTAATTTCCCGAACAACTGACGCAGAAACTATTTCACGAGTCCATGGAGAGAAAGAGAGAAAGGAAAAAAAAAAAAAAAAAAACAAAAGAAGCAATTATCGACCCCAAAGAGTAATTGTTTGTGGGTACGTACATAGTCATCTAGTGGGTCACAGGTGCGAAATTCCACGTAGCTCAGTTTACGTCTGCTCGCGTGTATACGCGTGTATGTGTATATATGGGGAGCAAAGGGGCGACATAACGAGCTCCTGTGTATAGCCTTGACTGAGCACATAATCCCTCTCGAGAGACGCGCACGCGCCGTCGTTTGTTTGTTTGTTTGTGCTCAGGGTGTCCAGGGGCACTGATTGGGGGGTGCCCGAATCAGCAACGGTGAGCAGCTCCTTTTCCACCCCCCACGACCAAATAACCGGGATACTTATATATATATATATATATTGCACACACGAGTATGCCATCAATTTCCGGACACCCTGCCCTGCTTTCCGATACACAAGTTTCCGAGCAACTCAAAGACCAACCACCTCGAGCGTCCGAGCTAGTTGCGGAGGAAGGGGGTGGATGCGATCGACAGTTTTACCGCCACCCCTTTCCCAGGCGTCGGCTCTGCGCGTGCACTAATCAGCTTTAGGGAGAGAGAGAGGGGCTTTCACGAGCTCGCGCTCACAAAGTATTAACTGCCGTGTATATATATATATACGATACAGGTACACATCACCTAGTGCGACGATGGTCCGTCACCTCTTTACTTCTGCCCCCCATGTACACACGCCCGTGGATTGATGCATGTTTGTATTCCATCCATCCTGTATACAGATACACGTATATAATATAGAGGGTCCACTTTGCTCGAGCTGTACATCCAACCCAAAAGTCGACCATACACATATTACATTCTCCGTCACGCAGATTGGCAAAGTTTTCGACACGTCCCGCGTGAAGCTTCGAGCGAAAAGCAATATAAGGGCTTTTGGAGTATTTTTTTTTTTTTTTTCCTCCCACTCCTACGCGTAAGCATGCCATTGCATTTGTGTACCCTGGAGCCCGTTAATATACACCGGGGGTTGCGCGAGCGACTGCTGTTGGTTGCAGATGTTTTTTTTGTTGCTACTCCCTCCAATCACTCCTGTACATCGTTACGGGCGAATTTAACGCGCGACGGGAGCTCGTTTCCATCCGCCAAACCTGTCGGTATACCCACTGGCACGTGTACAAAATCGCGGCGCCAATATTCTTCCGATTCCTGCGTTTAGTCGGTGAAAAACAAGGAGAGGCAAAAAAAATGACCAGCGAGAAAATTGTCATCGCATCTGTACCGATCTAATCGACGAGTTCGATAAGTTTGGCAGGTAAAAAAAAAAAAAAAAAAGAGAGTGAAAGAGAGAGAGAGAGAGCTGTTGAAGATTACAAAAAACGATCTCTTTGAAATTTCATCCGAAAAAATCTCTATACATATACGGGCCGCGGACGCACTTTTTCCCATTTTCCATGTGACGGGCGAGTTTTCCGATTTTTGTCAGCCACCACCGGCCGTCGATGCGTGAGTACACGTACATGGGTAGTGCGTGAAACGTATAAACTCCACGTGCATATAAATGGTATATGTATATACACACACGGGGCGTCATCGTCATCCACCCACGAGCATAGTAAATCACAGA